CGTGAGAGTGAAAGAAAACTTTCAAACACACTTGTTACACGGGTAAGAATATTCCAGTGTTAAGAACTTATGAGAAATCCACGATAAGAACGAATACCCACTCTCATTACTTGTTAGACGGTGACCTATTCTCAAGGTATTTACTCTCATCGTTTACGAGCACCTTAATGCATGTAGAGTACATTCTCTCAATAGCAAACCCCGTCTAAGACCTTAATGCATATAGAGATATAGAGTACATTCTCTCAATAGCAAACCCCGTCTAAGAAGTTTGTTATTTGAGAAACTGATGAAATGTACATATTTTCTTGTATGTACATATGTATTAACAATAGGAGTCTTCCCTTAAACTTGTAAAAGACTCGTAAACCTCGTAAAGCTCGTAAACTTACGAGCCTCGTAAAAAAACTGTCAAAACTTGTATGGAGCCCCTCGTAAAATTATGAGGCAAATTTGATGCGCAAATTAATTCGTAAACTTCAGTGTTGCCGAGGAGCTGAAAATTTTATACTAAAATGTAATATATAATATTGAAAACAAATGAAAAATGGAGGATGGTTCCGTGCGCAGAAGTGGAAAACTTTTGACTGCCATTCACCTGGGAGTGGCCAGAAGCGATTCTTGTGCGTACGGTTCAAATCGCAGCTCACAACGTCCGGATATTTATATCCACGTATCCTCTGGGTAGCAACCAAACACCCGTTTGGGAGCGAGCTAAAGTGAGAAGGCGTAAAACTTCGCGTGCGCTGGGTTTGGGTCCCGCCACGTTAAAACCCCGCCCAATGAAAAATTCCAACAAGCCTCGGATGAGACCCCCTTTTTCTGATGACGACCACGGCAAACGTATAAAGGACTATGATTTAAGGGTATGCACCTGGAATATCCGGACCCTTAATGGGGAAGGTGCCTCTGCCCGGCTGGTTGATGTCCTCGGGAAGACAAAGGCTGACATCACCGCCATCCAAGAAATGCGATGGACGGGGCAAGGTAAAGTAAGCGTGAAGCCTTGCGACGTCTACTACAGTTGCCACGTAAAGGAGCGCAAATTCGGTGTTGGATTCGTGGTAGGAGAGAGACTCCGTCGCCGAGTACTGGCGTTCACCCCGGTGGACGAACGTCTAGCCACAATCCGCATCAAAGCTAGATTCTTCAACATCTCGCTCATCTGCGCCCATGCCCCGACGGAAGAGAAGGATGAGGCGTCCAAGGATCTCTTCTATGAGCGCTTGGAACGTACATATGAGCGCTGCCCCCGACACGATGTCAAAATCGTGCTTGGCGATTTTAATGCCAAGGTGGGCAAGGAAGGGATCTTTGGCGCCACTGTCGGAAAATTCAGCCTCCACGATGAAACGTCCGATAACGGACTGAGGCTGATCGACTTCGCCGGGGCCCGAAATATGGTAATATGTAGTACTAGGTTCCAGCATAAGAACATCCACCAAGCTACATGGCTGTCTCCAGATCGAAAAACGAGAAACCAAATCGATCATGTTGTGATAGACGGAAGGCATGCTTCAAGCGTTTTGGACGTACGTACACTCCGAGGGCCAAACATCGACTCGGACCACTATCTTGTTGTAGCCAAGATACGCACCCGCCTCTGTGCAGCAAAAAATGTGCGCCCAACAATGCAAGGAAAGCTTAACGTCGAAAAGCTGCAATCACAACAGACGGCCAATTTATTCGCCACTCGACTCACACACCTGCTCTCTGAGAGCACTCTTCAACAATCCGACGTACGCGAGCAGTGGAACCACATTTCCCGATCATTAAGTACCGCCGCCGAAGAAGTAGTTGGATTTCAGCGAGCCAGAAAGAACAACTGGTACGATGAGGAATGTCAAGAAGCCGCAGAGAAAAAAGATGCCGCCTACAGGGCCACGCTGCGATCGGGCGCAACGCGAGCCATGTGGGACCGTTATAGGGAACTGAAGAAGGAAGCGAGACGTATTTGCCGCAATAAGAAGAGAGAGGCCGAAATACGTGAGTGCGAAGAGCTTGAGATGCTGGCCGACAGGAAGAACGCCCGAAAATTCTACCAGAGGGTTAGGCGACTTACGGAAGGTTTCAAGACCGGGGCGAACTCCTGTAAGAACAACAATGGCGACCTAGTGACCGATGTCCAGAATATACTTAAATTGTGGAGGGAACACTTTTATAACCTACTGAATGGTAGCAGCGCTGAAAGTAGTGAGGAAGACGAACCCGAGTCCCCAGTCGATGATGATGGAGTAGCTGTCCCACCGCCTGACTATGACGAGGTACGAATAGCGATTACGCGGCTGAAAAACAACAAAGCTGCTGGAGCTGACGGCCTGCCAGCCGAGCTATTCAAGTACGGCGGCGAGGAGCTGATGAGGTGCATGCATCAGCTCGTATGCAGAATATGGTCAGATGAACGCATGCCCAACGACTGGAATTTAAGTGTGCTCTGCCCAATCCACAAGAAAGGCGACCCCGCCATACGCGCCAACTACCGCGGAATTAGCCTTCTAAGTATAGGTTACAAGGTCTTATCGAGCGTATTGTGCGAAAGACTGAAGCCCACCGTCAACGAGCTGATTGGACCTTATCAGTGTGGCTTTAGGCCTGGAAAATCCACCATAGATCAGGTATTCACAATACGCCAAATCTTGGAAAAGACCCGCGAGAATAGGATCGACACACACCATCTATTTGTCGATTTCAAAGCCGCTTTCGACAGCACGAAGAGAAGTTGCCTTTATGCCGCGATGTCTGAATTTGGTATCCCCGCGAAACTAATACGGCTGTGTAAAATGACGTTGAGCAATACCACCAGCTCCGTCAGAATAGGGAAGGACCTCTCCGAGCCGTTTGATACCAAACGAGGTTTCAGACAAGGGGACCCCCTTTCGTGTGATTTCTTTAATCTTATGTTGGAGAAGATAATACGAGCCGCAGAACTGAACCGCTCAGGCACAATACTTTATAAGAGCGTACAATTGCTGGCGTATGCCGACGACATCGATATTATCGGTAAAAACAAGGGCTACGTCTGTTCTGCCTTCTCGGGATTGGATAGAGAAGCAAAGCGAATGGGTCTGGTGGTGAACGAGGACAAAACGAAGTATCTCCTGTCAGCACACAAACAGTCAGAGCATACGCGTCTTGGCACCCACGTCACTGTTGACAGTTACAAGTTTGAAAAAGTAGACGACTTCGTTTATTTGGGAACCAGCATTAACACCAATAATAATGTCAGCCTTGAAATCCAACGGAGAATCACTCTTGCCAACAAGTGCTACTTTGGGCTGAGTAGGCAATTGAGAAGTAAAGTCCTCTCTCGTCGTACAAAGATCACACTCTATAAGTCACTCATCATGCCTGTGCTGGTGTATGGCGCGGAAGCATGGACAATGAAAGCATCTGATGAGGCGGCTCTTGGAGTTTTCGAGAGAAAGATTCTGCGAAAGATTTACGGACCTTTACGCGTTGGTGATGGCGAATATCGCAGACGATTTAACGATGAGCTGTATGAGCTTTACAACGATATAGACATAGTGCAGCGAATTAAAATTCAGCGGCTCCGCTGGCTTGGCCATGTCGTTCGGATGGACAGAAACGCTCCTGCTCTGAAAATATTCAACGCGGGCCGCGATGCTGGGAACAGAGGAAGAGGAAGGCCTCCTCTGCGTTGGAAAGACCAGGTGGAGAAGGACTTGGCTTCACTTGGCATTTTCAATTGGCGTCAGTTAGCACAGAAGAGATATGACTGGCGTGCTGTTTTGGACTCGGCCAAAATCGCTTAGGCGGTTACAGCGCCAAATAAGAAGAAGAAGAATAAAAATAATGAATTTCATCCACTAAGTGTACTAACATGGGGTTTCTGCTGATTTTCGGTATTTTTAACTTTTTTTAGCCAATAGTGATAGAGGGGGAAAATACTACGAAACAAAAACTGTTTCACAAAATCCTGGTTTGGAGATTGTTCATATTTACGAAAGGCTCAAGAATTAAAAAAACAAGTTTCATCAATTAAAAAAAAATGTGTTTTATTTAAAACTTTAAAAGAAACTTGTATTCGTTTTGTTTGTTACACAAATAAACAAACCGCATATGCAGGGGAACTTCGGTTATTGTGGTATAGGTATTTGTTTTTTGAGATATGTAGCAAATGTACGAGCTTTATTGTAACTATTATTTATTATTTGAGAACAGTGAAACTTAAGTTATAAAATATTTTTCAATGAAATACATGTATTCAAAAATAACAAAGTTATTGAAAACAAGTTAAAAGACACCAAAAAATACATACTTCAAAAATTGGAGGGAAACATGGTATATATGGTTGGGATAATGTATTACATTGTATTACTGTACCACATTACGATAACGCAGCTGTTAGAATAAACGTGGTGTTCAAGTAATTAAAGATTGACGTAATGTGGTATTGTAATACCTTAACCGACCTCTTGTCTACCACAATAACCGATTTTCAAAATTTCCAAAGAAACTCATACAAAACATAAGCTTTCTATTAGCCGAGACTTGATAAACAAAATACAAAACTTACTTTGCAATATCAGCATTTTTTTCTAAATAAATTTTTTTTTCACAAATAAAGTTGATTTCTTGCAGTTAAAAAAACTTTAAAATTTTGGATCACATGTTTCACGCGTATTTAACAATAAGAAAATCGAACAATGAAGTTAATCACTGTAAGCATTTCCGAGCGACACTTATGGACATTTTCAATGCAAATAACTAGGGGTTCCCCAAATTACCAAGCGCTTGAAATTCGTTAGAAATTTTTCAAAACAATAATGTTCATATTTTGGAGCTTTTGCCTAAAGTTCATATTTTAGAGTAGTGAATGGTAGCGAAAAAGTGTTCATATTTTGGGATGTTCATATGTTAGGATGTTAATATTATCGCGAGTTCACTGTATTATAAACATTTAAAACGTTTTTATCTAATCGTGATAAAAAATTAACTATGTTTCATTTGATTCTTCTGAACACCCTAACATAACTTACCAATGTCTGTAAGGGCTTTATAATTTCGTCTAGGACAACCCGGTTGTAGTGTAGTACCACCATTAGGCCAAAAATCTGCAGTGCCGGTACTTACTGGTGCACCATAAATCCAAGCATCTGTATGAATGACATCAACGAAATCGGCATCATGTTTACTTAAATGACTCGAAAAAGATCCGTAGAACAACGGAAAGGCTGGATCTAAAGCTGAAATTCTTGAATATATATTTATGTTTATTTTTAGTAATAAATTTTATAATGGATGTCGAAATTACATCATATCATAACATATACATATAATCATAACAAAAGATTCCAAGTGACGTTTATTTGATTTTTAATTTTATAGCGTTTTCTTTTCTCGAAATAATGTTGCATTTTTTCTGCTCTGCGCCAAGGCTGCCAAGTTTTCGTGCTCTTTTCTCACCATCTTCACAGGCACGGTGGAGAGAATACAGAGGTGGCGCCGATGACGATACCGCTACTCGGCTCTCAGTGATTTTGACAGAATCAGCTGTTTTGGTGACGTCATAGTAGAGAAGACAGCAGTAGTGATGTGCTCAGTCAATACTTTCAAGTATTGATCGATATTCGGTAACGATTTAAAATGTATCCAATACTCTCGATACTCGGTACCAAAACATTTAGATTTCAAATAAAAGCGCACACAGGCCAAAGATATGGAAAAAAACGGCTCAGGGGAGACTCGCCAATAGAGCCAATAGAGCTTTTAATACTGATTCAAATGAAAGATGTATATATGTCGGTTCCAGGCTATAACGCAGAGAAACTCTCACTTGTTTGAAGCATTTTTGTTCCAGCTGAATCGGACGATATCATTTTTGGAGGCCTAGGGGCAGATTCTATAACCAGTTAGCGACAATTTTCGAATCGGTATCGGGTTTGTTGACGTATGATATGAAATATTGTTACACCAACAAGTACGATATCGATCCGAAACTTGTCGCTAACTGGTTAGATCTCCCCCCTGAAAAGCTTCTTCATCCGTCAAAACATTTTTCTTGAACCTTGGATCGACTAAGGTTAAAACTGATAAAATAATATTTTTCTGTGGCGATAAGTTCAAGTGTTTTAGCCGATATCATATAAATTAGTAATGAAAGTTTTTTCTAAACCTGAAATGCATATAATGGCGAGGGTTTAATGTAAATAATCGGTATTGGATACCGAAAAGGAAGTGTAGGGTACCGAAATCTTTTTTAAGTATTGGGTACCGAGTATTGGGGACAATTCAGCACATCACTAGTCGCCCTCATTCTCGCCGCTCTCAGTTGTCAACTCTACGATGACGTCACGCTAAAATTACTCTCACGAATTCTGCTGCAATCGGCGCAATCTTGTATTCTATCATTCTTGCTTCACAGGCATATTGCGTGCTCTTTCTTCAAACTGCTGCACGCTGATAATGTTGCCATATAAGAGGTGACATTTTTTTCGAGAAAAGAAAACTCCATTAGTAACGTATTTTTTTTTTCGAAAAATGCCCGTTTGGACCTTTTGTAGTGATGACGACGGTCTGCTTATATACATATACATACATATGGGCATTTACGAAAAGATTCAATCAAAAGCAAAAAAGTAAAAATCCACTTAAACCGAATTTGATGAAGCCAATTGATAGCAACATATTTCGTCTTTCATATATTAAAGTGTTATACTAATCGGCGCATTGTATTGCCAGATACATGGGCGTCGCTACGTAGGGGACTCCTGCCCCTCGAACCCGACCACAAAAATGCAGTTGCCAATATAGCAACTCAGTTGCCAGTTTGCAGTTGCCATCTGTAAAACCATTTCAGCCAGTAGCCACCCAACTGAAGTTCGGTTGCCATAAGCCTAAGTCGGCTCAGCTCGACTGGTCACATACATAAGTACACATTTTCATGAGTCTATCTCTTCATATTCTGGTACTTACAAATATCGGGCCAAAGTTATAATACCATTTCATGCTTATGAAAGGTATAGTTTTCAGATTTCAAATCGGTGAAGTAGGTAAATATAAATTTAAACATTTTCTTAACTTCTTCCCAGCGTATCTATTAAAATGTCATTTTCAAAAATTTCATGCATTGCAATGCCATGTCATTCCATCTCAAACATACTGTTATAGCATGTCATTGCTTCTTAGCTCAGCTGTTGTTTGCTGTTGTGTTTCTGCAGCGTATTTTTAATACTGTTTAATCCTGCCTTCTATGAAAATGTATATAGCAGGGGTGGGCAAGGCCGAGGCCGAAAAGAGCCACATCTAAGTTCTAAATGCTACAAGAGCCACAAAAAAAGAACAAGAAAAACATTAATTTTATTATCATTCTATTGTACGTAAGATAGATATAATAGAAAGTTCAAAAGATCCCTTTGGCGAGATTTTTAAAATCTGGTTTTAGGTCAGTTAAAGCCGTTCGTAACAATTCTGTTAAATGTTGGATAGTCAATAGGTACGTTCGTTTAAAATCTCCAGTAAAAAATGTCCAACAGGGAAATTCCGGCGAAATATCATCTGTTCTCTCACAAAAGAAAAATATCCAAAATAGTACGCGAACAGAAAATTTGCAGAAACTTGCAAGTTAGACGAACAGCTGATAGATTTTTTGTTTACATTAACAGGTCTATTCTGCACGTTACCGAAGATTTTGTGACCGGAAAAGATGAAGATTTGTGGAAATTCCTGTATTGCATATTTCACGGGGCAATATTTTGTTACCAGCTTATGAGATGGTAACCAAATTTACCGGTTACAAGAGAGCACAGAATGCGAAAAAGGTTTAAAAATTGACAGATACTTTAATTACCGGTTATAAAATTTATGTTACCAGCGCAGAATAGACCTGTAAAAAGTATAAAATTGAAAACGTAAAAAAACAAATCCTGAATTCTTATCCTGACACAGTTCACTGACTAAACGAATAATTACTTATTTCTTACAAGTTTAATTAGTCGCATTTTACTCTTTCATCTTCCAAACCATCAAATTTAATTTAGGGATTTGCGTAAATTCCAACCTGCTCTTCTTGATCAGCTGTTTTCTTGTTGGAAAATTGCTGTGGGCTAAAATATGTATTTATATTAGGGCTGTGCGATTAATTGATTACTCAAAATTTTAATCTATATCTATACTTCTATACTAATTATATAAAGAGAAGTCCCTTTTTTTGTAACAGGTAATCTCGCGAACGCCTGCTCCGATTTTCATGAAATTTTTTATACAAATAGCTTTCGGTAACCACCATGTTTTAGGCTAAACAAATTTTACTTTTTTTCGGGTAGGTGGACCAGGGACCGGTCTATTCGAAAAAATCTTATTATAGTCCGATTTGCTTAAAATTTAGTACGTAAGTAGCTTTTTAGCATGTATTAGCATATGTGATCAATTTTTTCCGAGAAGTGGACCAGGGACCGATCTATTCCAAAAAATCGCATTTATGGTTCGATTTGCTTAAAATTCGGTACGTAAGTAGTTTTTTAGCATATATTAGGATATATGGTCCATTTTTTTCCGAGAAGTGGGCCAGGGACTGATCTATTCGAAAAAATCGTATTTACGGTCCGATTTGCTTAAAATACGGTACGTAGGTAGCTTTTTAGAATATATTAGCATATATGATCCATCTTGTCCGAGAAGTGGACCAGGGACCGATCTGTTCGAAGAAATCGTATTTATGGTCCGATTTGCTTAAAATTCGGTACGTAGGTAGCTTTTTGCCTGGATATATATTATAGATTCCTGTTTTCCAATTTTCATGCAATTTCGATTATTAATAGCTTTAAGTAACGACCATATCAAGGGGCGAATTCATCACTAGGCAAGATTTTTTTGCGCCAATCAGAAACAACGTATACTGTCAAAATATTATTATAATATATAATATATCTCAACTAATATATATTTAGAAAGCCGTTTGTTAGTTTTCGCAAGGCTCGAGAGCGGCTGAACCGATTTTTTTGAAACTGCCACCTGCCGCACGTGTCCCAAGGATGGTTTTAGGTTGAAAAAAATATATATGTAAGGGGGCGTGGCACTTCCCATACAAACCGAATTTCTCATGCTACATATCTCTGAAAGTGTGCATGGTAGAGTTTTGGAAATTGGTATGGAGATATACGAAATCAATCGCATACCCATACAAACCGAATTTTTCATACTGCTTATCTCTGGAAATTTTTTGGTAGAGTTCTAGAGTTTTGTATGGAGATGTACGAAATAAATCGCATACTCTTGGAGAAAAATTGGAACTATTGGAAAAGGGGGCGTGGCATCTTCCATACAAACCGAATTTTTCATACTGCCTACCTTTGGAAGTGTTATGGTAGAGTTCTGGAACTTGGTATGGAGATATACGAAATCAATCGCATACTCATGAAGAAAGAGGGCAGCTGTTGGAAAGGGGGCGTGGCACCTCCCATATAAATCGAGTTTTTATACTGCATAACTCTGAAAGTATTCATGGTACAGTACTGGAACTTCGTATGGAGATATGTATATAGTTGAAATCAAGCCCATACTCATGGAGAAAATTTGGGCTAGTTGAAAAGGGGTTTGAGGCCTACAAACCTACCGACCTTTAGCTATCTTTGAATGAATTTTTTTATTCTTCTGTAGGTGTGTTTGTGAGTAAAATCCTCCCGAATGGTTGTACGGATCTTAACGAAACTTTTTGTGTATTTGAGTGGGTCTCTGGATGGTTTAGTTTCACAATTTAATCCGACAGTTGGCGCTGTAGTTGAGTTATTACTAAAAATCTTATATATGATCCGATTTGGCTAATTTTTTAAATATGTATGCAATACTATTGCAAAAACGTGCTGCCAAGTGGTGCTGAAGTCGAGCTATTACTAAAAATAGCCAAGTGAGAAAAGGGGCCGTGAAGGTCAGATTAAATCGACCTGTTGCACGGTTGAGTATATCGAACGCTCCTGCGTTGCAATTGGCCCAATGGATGTGATTTTCCAATATTATTATGCGTTCAAACTTTTAAGGTATTTCGTCTGAAATAAGTATATTTATATTGCATTTCTGTAGAACAATGATTCACACCCATTTTGAAATTGCCACCTACTATACTGTAATGCTTCTAGGACATTCACTATAGAACCGTTATTGCCGCCAGGGAGTGAAGAGGAAAAAATTTATTTCGCTTTGCGAATAACCGTGCTATGAAATGCCGCACAACTGGAGAATTTCAAGAACGGATATAACACTTTCCTTAGGTTATTTAAAGCGGCAAATGACCACCAAACCTTAATCTTAGCAAACAAATGTGC